AGCTGAGGCAGTGCTGAGGCAGCACGCAGCAGCATTCGCCCACACAATACAGCAACTAGGCAAGTGCGTGACCAGCACCATGCGTCTACCCCTGACCAGCGAAGTACCGGTGTATCAGCGGCGAAGGAGGATGAGCCCGCAAGACATCAGCATCTGCACGGAGAAATGCCAAGAGCTGTTGGCAGCAGGCCTTATCAGGCGGTCGACATCGGACTACGCAGCCGCCACAGTTGTAGCAGCTCGGACAGACTTGACAGGCGCCATCCTGTCCCGCCGCATGTGTGGGGACTACAGGGGACTGAACAAAGTGACGGCAACGGACAGGTACCCCATGCCCATGGCCGAAGAGATATTCGACCAGCTGCAGGGAAGCAGTGTCTTCTCCACCCTGGATTTGTGCTAGGGCTTTAACCAGATACCGATAGCCGAGGAGGATAAGAAGAAGACCGCGTTTCACGGGCCGGACGGACTCTACGAATGGAACTTCATGCCCTTTGGCTTGAGGAATGCCTCCGCGGTGTTTCAGCGTGTCATGGATGCGGTGCTGAGAGAGGTGAAAGGGGCAGCGTGTTACATCGACGACGTGATCATCTTCAGCCCAGATGCAGAAACACATATGCGAGACGTTGAGACGACGCTGACAGCAATAGAAGCGGCCGGCTTGACCTGCCATCCGGGGAAGTGCCGCTTCGGACATGGTAGCGTGGCGTACCTGGGGTTCGAGGTGGCGGGAGGAGAGCTTAGCATTCAGAAAGCCAAGGTGGAGGTGTTAGATCGAGTGGAAAGGCCGAAGAATAGGAGCAGCCTGCGGGCTCTGCTAGGGTTTCTCAACTATTACCGCAAATTCATCGAGAATTTCAGCAAGAGAGCGGCGCCCTTGAACAAGCTGCTGCGTGAGGAGCAGAAGTGGCAGTGGGAAGAGCCGCAAGAGCAGGCCTTGCGCGGTCTGATGGAGGCAGTCAAGGCCGGGGCCGTGCTAAAGCTACCTGACGGGCAACAGCCATTCATCCTCTATACAGACTGGAGCAGCGTGGGAATGGGGGCAGTCCTGAGTCAGATGGACAGTGGAGTGGAGAAAGTAGTGACCTTCGCGAGCCGGACCTGCAGTCCAGCGGAGGCCAACTACTCGTCCTACGAAGGGGAGGGGCTGGCAGCCATATGGGCAGTGGGACACTTTCGATTGTACCTGCAGGGACGGCACTTCCCGCTAGTCACAGATCACCAGCCTCTGCTATGGCTAATGCACAACCAAACGCTGACAGGAAGAAACGCACGGTGGGCCATGAAACTTCAAGAGTATGACTTCACCGTGAAGCACAGGCCAGATGCCACGATACAGCACGTGGATGGGCTCTCCAGGAACCCACCAAGGGGAGGCGGGAAGCCAGAACCAGAGCCGGAGCCCCCAGCAGCGGCGCTGACCGCCATGGTCAGGGAACAAGGGGCGGGAGGAGAACGGCAGAAGGGCCCAGCAGATGTGTGGCAGGACGAGGAAACTCTGAGGTGGATGAGAGGGGAGACAGCCCAGGACGGGGGAGCGGGAGCAAGAGCAAGGGCACGGGGGCAGCACTACAGGTGGTTCCAAGAGCAGGTGCAGCTGCAGCTGCAGACGAAGGATGGGTGGAAGCGGGTGCCGGCGCCAGCAGAGAGGGAAGGTATCATCCGAGAAGTGCATAACAAACTGGGGCATTACGGCCCGCTGCGGACCCTGCAGCTGCTGCAGACGGGATGGTGGTGGGCGGGGATGCGTAAGGAAGTAAAGGAGTGGGTGGAGAAGTGCGAGCTGTGCTACAGGAACAAGGCGAGTCTGCTAAAGAGCCAGGCAGAGCTACAGCCCTTGAACATCGTGGAGCTGGGGTATCGGTGGTCACTGGACATTGCGGGGGAGCTGCCCGTGTCTCGGAGGGGAAGGCGGTACGTGCTGCTCATGATTGAGCATGTGAGTAAATGGGCGGAAGCAAGGCCCTTGGTGGCAAAAACGGCTGAGGCGGTGGCAGAGGCCTTCGAGGAGATGGTGTTGACAAGGTTTGGCGCGTGCGGGGAGGTGCTGACCGACCAAGGCACGGAGTTTCAAGGGGAATTTAAGGAGCTGCTAGCAGAAAACGGCATACAGCACCGCACCACCTCCATGTACCATCCTCAGAGTGACGGCCTGACGGAGAGACTGGTGCGGACGGTGAAGAAGGGGTTGCGCGTGTACGGAGAGGCGAACAAGGGCGACTGGGATAATAAGCTGGCATGGGTGATGGCGAGATACAGGTTCAGCAAGCAGGCGTCGCTAAAGGATGTATCCCCGTACTACTTGCTTTTCGGAAAGCACCCCATACTGCCAGTGGATGCACCAAGGCTGATGCTCGATCCTGTCAGGACCAACACGGCGGAGAAGTGGGTAGCGCTGGCGGACGCAAGGGCCAAGTATCTGAAGAAAATGTTACCGGCGGCCATGGAGAGCCTGAAGGTGGCGCAGTTACGGGACATACACCGTTAAAAGCAGCGGCAACTGAACAAGATGGCAGGAAAGCAGACAGCAGTCGAGGAAGGGCAGGTGGTGTACGTGCGGCGAGCTAAGCAAGATGGAGTGGATGTGGGAGTGTCACAGCAGAGGTGGGAGGTGAAGGAGGTTCGGGACTCAGGAGTACTGATGTTGGAGGATGCAAAAGGGAAGAGAGTCATGGACAACGTTACTAACGTGGCCCTCGCAGGAAAGCAGCAGCAGGCGGGAAGCTACACTGGTCCCATGACCAGGGCGAGGACGGCAGCAGCAGGTCATGGGAGGGGGCAGGAGAAGTAGACATGAGTCATGCACCAACAAGAACCAGAGCAAGGACACCAGGGAGGGTGAGGCTGAGGAGTTCAGGAGGACAGGAGCAAGGGAAGGCGAGGAGTGGTCTGGAGGAGGAGAGGGGGAGTGGAATACACGGCACAGGGGTGAGCAAGCAGGAGCGGAGCAGAGTGAAGAGAGGAGGAGGAGGGAGGTATCCGACAGCTGTCACATTTGCATGAATGTGAAGGGCAAGGCAGTGCGCGAATGGGCTGTATATACTGTAGATACTGTACATAGCGAAGCGGAATGCAGCGAGGACGGGAGCCGAAGAGACATTCGACGTTTCACGAACGGAGAAGGGAATTGGGGAGCCGACGGTTGCCAAGCCTTAGGGTCGGAGGATTACATGGGCAAGCGGGAGCTGGAACTTACGTAAGCAAGGAGGGGCGGGCTGCAGAAACAGAGGCAGACAAGGCAGCGGCAGCAGGAAGCAGCAGTGCAGGATGTGATGGATGGGTGAATGTATGCATGCGTGTTTGTTTCCCTATGTGTGCAGGATAGGTTCGGGGAGCCAGCTGGATCTGGAAGTAACAGCTGGAGGACGAGCAGACAGGGCAGAAGAGGGTGGCAAGAGGAAGCACGGCTGTGAGCCTGTGTGAAGCAGCTCTTAGCTGCTAGCGTAGGCAGGGGTGATAGGACCGAAGCATGGCGGTGGCAGCGCTGGTAGAATAGGTGGATACCTCAACTTACTATCCATTGCTTTTATGTTTCCCTTTTACACGAGTGTTTTGCTGTAATCTGAGCAAGCGGTGAACTTAGGGAGATATGGCGAGAAAGGGATTTTAGATCGGGGAAAGAAGGTCTAGTATGTGAAGGAGCACGGAGCTCATCACATACGAGCAATCTGAGGAGAAGTAGACATGAGTCATGCACGAACAAGAACAAGAGCAAGGACACCAGGGAGGGTGAGTCTGAGGAGTTCAGGAGGACAGGAGCAAGGGAAGGCGAGGAGTGGTCTGGAGGAGGAGAGGGGGAGTGGAATAAACGGCACAGGGGTGAGCAAGCAGGAGCGGAGCAGAGTGAAGAGAGGAGGAGGAGGGAGGTATCTGATAGAACAACTAGGAAGAGTTGCGAGTTGGGAAGGACTCCCAGCTCCTACAAACCCCAAGAGCCGAGGTACAGTGATGGGGAATAGTGCCACACTGTCCCCAACCAAGAAGGGTCTCGAAACTACCCTTCACAAGGGCCTACACCAACTGAAATGTTACACTACACTTTGTAATGTAACTATCTTCAATATCTTGAGGTGTAGCCTTTTGGCGAGCTTTGAAATCACTTGAAGCTTGCAATCAAGGCTCGGGTTCTTCATCACAAAACTCATCCTTGAGTTCTTGATGGGTTTGCTGCACACACCTGCGACACGCCAAATGTTCGATAAGCGACAAAATAGAAACCGCGCACGACAAAATAGAAATCGCGCGGGACACACAAAATGACCGCGTTACACGCGACTAGCGATAATTCGCTATTGACTTGACACACACACTCGACATCATGACCCATCATTCACACACCATTATAAGAATGGAATTATATCTATTTCATGCACTCATACCACTCTATGCACACACGCATGCACGCACACGCACACGGACAACAAGCCGAGTGCAAACCGTAGGTTGCACCAACAGTAATTGATGCCTGCCGACTATCTCTGCCCATGTTGCCTCGGGTTTTTTCGGGCGGCGGTCCTGGCCGAGATGGGCCGCGACGGTAGGAGGTGGGAGTGGCCAAAGCCCTCAGATGAGGAGGTCATCGACAGGCTTGCCGACTACGATTCACCCCTTCGAGTTGTGAGCTCCGAACGCTCTACCGTCCTATTGTGTGTCCTCGCGCGATGCGATTGCCTAACGTGGTGCTCATCCTGTCGCTCTGGAATGTTATATACAGAAAGTGCCCGATGTCGTCCGGGACGGGGACGCGGGCTCCGGCCTGCTAGCAATGAGCGCGTTGCTCTGCTGGGTGGTGAGGAGGATGGATATCCTGACCGGCGCCCTTCGTCGCACTGTGACCAGCATGGACAAGGTCAACGTTTCAGGGTTGAAGGGGATGCGGACTGGAATGATAACTTTCGTCAAGGAGCACGTCGCTCGGAAACGGGCGGGCCATGTCGGAATTGCTGCCGACGCCTGTGACGACGACGGCGAGGTTCCCCCTTCTGCATCCCAAGCAGCCGATGCTGCCCAGCATCAGGGGCGCGAGGGTGTCTGTGGAAGGAGGATACGGTGGAGGTGGAGGCGACGCAGTGGCGGGTGCAGCAAGGAAGGAAGAGGAGTCGGAGTCGTCGGAGTCGGAGTCGGAGTCGGAGGAGGAGGACGGGCGGGGAAGGGGAAGGACGAGGAGGAGGACAAGAAGAGGGACGAGAAAGAGGACGAGGGGGTGGAGGAAGTGGTGGGGTACGAGGTGGAGTACGCAGACGGTATGGTTGTGGTGGGAGCGGCGGAAGAGGCGTTGGGGTCGGCGCATGAAGTCGAGGAGGATGGCGATGCGGGTAATGCTACGAGGTTGGCAGATGGGGGGAAGGAGAAGGGGGAGGTCGGCGTGGAGGCAACGACGGAAACGGGCCAGGAGGAGGCGGCCCTCGAGGGAAGTGGGAAGGTGTCGGTCGATGCCGGCGAAGGGGCGAACATCAAGGGCGTGCCGTAGACGGGGGAAGCATCTGGTCGACAGGGTCCTGAACCGGACGACGTCGAGCAGCTGCGGCGGGAGAACTTCTTGTTGAGGGCGGAGAATGATCGGCTGGCGACCTTGCTCGACGAGGAGAAGGCTCGGCTGGACAGGTTTTTTGTTGGGGTATGTGGTCTCGTCGCAGGTGAAAGAGTTGGCCGACCAGGTCGCCGACTCCGACGAGACTGCGGTGGAACGGCTGCGGAACGCGACGGCGGCCATGTCGAAGACCATTACGGGCAACATCACCGGCAGCTTCGACGAAGCGTGGAAGACGATGAAGACCTTCGCGGAACAGGCGTCGGCGTGGTTGGAGGACTTCGACAATCCGGAGGGTCGTGTGGCATGTGCACGCGCGGTAGCGGTCGACGCCTTGGCAGACCACGTGAATGGGGTGGTGGGCGAGGCGAAGCGGGGTTTGGAGCTGTACATTACGACGCAACTATCCGCCACGCAGGTCAACATCGCCACCGCCGTGACTTCCAGGCTCGCCGTACAGCCGCCGCTACCGCCTCAGCCCACGCCGCCCGCCCTCCCGGAAGAGCTCTTAAAGCCGTTCAAGGCCGACATCATGAAGGCGGTGACGGAGGCCACCCACCAATCCTTCGTTGCTTCTGGGTTGAAGATGTTGACCGAGATGATCGGCACTGTGGCGCCTGGTCGACGTGGGTCGTCGCCTTCGGCCAATGACGCCGATCACGCGCAACGGAGGGTGGCCGATAAGCAGGCCCAGAATAGGACGGGCGGCGGAGACGATGCGGGGAGCGTGGAGCGGAGCAACGGAGCGGACGGGAGCCGCGGTCTAGGCGCGTCGCCGTCGGTTAATGACGCCGATCACGCGCAATGGAGGGAGGCCGACAAGCAGGGCCAGAAGAGGACGGGCGGCGGAGACGGTTTGGGGAGCGTGAAGCAGAGCAAGGGAGCGGACGGGAGCCGCGGTCCAGGCGGCTCGAAGCCTGCTGCACAGAGCGTGGTCAACCAGCTGAAGATGAAGGCGGGGTGGCAGGTGTTAAGGTCGTCGCACAGCAAGGGAGATGGAAGCGGGGGGGCAGATGGTGGCCCAGCCGACGGGGTTGCCGCTAAAGTCGCGGCACCGGAAGGCCCGCCTTTGGTTGCCGAGCAGACCCATCCTCAGGCGAGCGGTGGGAAAGACGTACGCGACAAGGGGATACCAACAGCTCAGACGGCGAAAGATGGTGGCGCCGGAACCGCCAAGGGACCGTCCGTCGCGGTGGCGAGGTCGACGTCGATTCCCCGTAACCCCCCTGCGACTACCACCGCGCAGGCCGGCTAGTCAGGCGCCAACAACGATGGGCCGGCCATTGCGGCCCCTCCAGCTCCAGCAGCCCCATCTGCCGCCAAGGGCGACGCCAAGGCTCCAGCAGCTGCTAAGTTGCCCACCGGTGGTGACGCGCTTAGGGAGATGCTCCGCCGCATGGAGGCACATCGCAGGGACGTGCAGCATCCTCCCGTGGTCGACGCCGGCCCTGCCGAAACAGCACGTCGCTCCGTCACCCCGCAGGTTGCCGGCACATCGTCCGGTGCCCCACCTGCCGCGCCTCAGGTCGCCGCCCGACCGCCTGCGGACTCGAAGTCTGCGTTTTTTCGCGCCCAGTTAGTCGCACGCAAAACGGCAGCTCCACCGGTGACTCAACCGGAACCTGGCAAAAGCGCGACGCCGACGTCAGTAAAAGCGGCTGTACATACACCCGGTGCAGCTGTGGTCGATGTAGTGGCGGAGAAGGGTGTGCGTGCAGCACTAGCCACCGAAGGCCGAGCCGACAGGCACGCCGACATCGCTGCTATCGAGGCCCATTTCGAAGCTGCAAAACGCCCCGAGCACGCCCCTGCTCTGGCCATCATGGACACGGCGCATGTGCAGCGCTCCGCGACTCATGGAGGGGGTTCGGCGGAGCCGACGGCTGCTGTCGCCGAGAGAATTGCGGGACGAAAGGGAAAGGATGAATCTGGAAAGGGGAAGGCGGTCTTCCAGAGAAGCACGCGGGCGATGTCGGCGGGGAAGGAGATATCGGACGAGAAAGGGAAGAAGGTGGGAGGGAATCAGGACAAGAAGGGCGGCAAGGGTAAGTCGGCAAAGCAGAAAGCGAAGGAGGAGGAGGAGGACGAGGCGGTCGGCGAGGGAAAGAAGGAGCATGGACGCAGGGGTCATGGCATCCGCCACGACAAGTCGGGCGACGGGCTAGGTTGGGTGGGCGAGATTAAGGTAAACGGCGAGAATCGTTACATCGGCAAGTCAAGGGACAAGATGGATCTGGCCTACAAGCATTCGATTGCGTTTGTTGCCTACGGCTGCTACGTGAGCAGGGTGCTCATGGACGAGCTCACAGTCTTGAAGAATGGAAGGGGGTGTGGGAGGAGGTCAAGTTCCCGCCGACTGGGATGTGGACGGTGATGTGGGCCAGAGGCTTGTGCCATCCGAGAGCAAGGTAAGATGGCTACCGATCTGCCGAGTGCTGTCGACTACAGTCATTGTCGTTTCAATGCTGTTGTCGTTTCATGACCCTAAATCTGTGTCGTTTTAATATTTTGTGCGGCAGGATCGACGACATACTCGGCAGGTACCGTGGGTACACGGGTTCGGGTGATGCGCTTCACGACGTGCTCTTGCCGGCGATCTGGTTCCCCATCATCGACGACACGGAGGAAGGCAAGGAGGAGACGGAAGCTTTCATGTCGGCGATGCTAAATCGCGTGTCGATGTGCGCGGCGTATGGGAAGGTTGCGGCCGGCGCGGCGATAGGGAAGGTCGCTGCGAGCGCGGAAGGGAAGGCGAAAGAGAAGACGGAGATGGAAGGCGCGGAGGGGGAGGCGGTCGAGAAGACGGAGATGGCGGCCAGACGTTAGCGGCATCCGCATGCGCCCTATGGTGCTTCGTGGAGTCGGGGGCGTCGGTGCTCGGTGCTGTGGGCGAAGGGAAGGCGGCCGCGATGGTGGCAGGTGTGGGGGAGAACAGGGCCGAGAACTTCAAGAAGGTGATGCACGCGGTGATCGACACAGCACGCAGTAGGCAGGCTCCAACAGGGGAGGTTGCACATAACGTCGCACCAGCGCTACAGGGCCAGGCAGTGGCCAGGGCCTTCGAGGAAGGAGTTGAGGAGTCGAGGCCGACATCATCACTAGAGCGACGGTTGAGACCTTGGCGTTCTGGGGAATGTGCCCCGTCGCCGGGCCCAAGCTCAAAGAGCACGGCATCGATGTGTCGTGTGACGCGCAGATGGAGTACTATATGGAGCACAGGGGGAGGAAGGGGGAGAAGGTCAAGCAGGGCAAGGGCAGCAAGAGGAAGAAGGGGCAGACGGGCAAGCATGGCAAGGACAGTACGGATGCATAGTCGGCGGGCGGAGGTGTTCAGGGTGATAGGGTGTATAACATGTTGGTATGGCCGGCGCCGATTTCGTTGTAATGCTGATGAATCTTCTCAGTGTGCTTCACTTTGTGATGATATAAATCACTGCACTCGTAGAAACATGCTAACCGACTTTGAATGATGAGCCTTGTCGGCGCATATGTCGACATCATGTGAACATGCTACTCGGCGAGGAACGATGATATGTATATGGATCACTGTCCTCAGAAACATGTTGCTCGGCGACGAGCATTGTCGGCGTTTATGTCGACATCACAGGAACATGCTACTCGGCGATGAACGATGGGTCCTACAAGACGTCGACATCGACATGTCTTCAGCAGTATGCAAGGATAGGGTTCTTACTGGGCGACTGACAACATTCACCATAGCGGGATCAAGTAGGTTCGCAAGGACCGGTAGTTTACAAACACCTATACAGTATAGGAAGTGGAGGAGGGGGGGGGGGGGGGGGGGGGGGGGGGGGGGGGGGGGGGGGGGGGGGGGGGGGGGGGGGGAGGGGGGAATCGGCCACAATTAACAGCATCAAACTACGCAGACGTGTATCCTACAAGGGTCTTCATGCCGACTTCTTGCGCTTGGTCGGAGGATGGTGCACCGGTCCGGTCGGCTTGGCCGGTGCTGTCGACTTGGCCGGTGCGGTCGGCTTCGCCAGGTCGGCCTTGGTCTTCGGCATCTGCTCCTCCCAGGTGTCTGGAAACAGGGCAGCGACCCAATCACTTGGCTTCAAGTTGAGCGCCACAAGCGCACAGGCGAGGCAGGGCTTCGAGACCACCTTGGGGACCAGCCCCTTGACTCCCATGCCCGACTCTTTGGACAACGTCGGTGCCGTTCCCGGTTTGAGCACCGTGAGGGCATCGCAGAAGGTCCCGATGCCCGGTGCCGCGATCCTGTGCAGTGCGTCGACCACGGCTTCGGTGTCGGCATCGCCGTCGCTCGCGCATAGCTGGCACACCGCATCCATGACCTTCAGCATGCGGCGCACCCTCATGTTGAGTGCACCCTGCGTCGCGCCTTTGAGGAGGGTGTGGCGGTCGACGAATCCCGGCTCGGCGATCCTGTCGCAAAGGCGACGTGTGTCATTGGCAGTGGCGGAGTTCCAGTGGCGCCAGGCGTCCCTTACAGTCTTTGCATCCCGCCACGGTTGTACCACGTTGAGCTCGTAACTAGCCTCCTCGTCCGTCTGTGGGGGTGGCGGTGGTTTCTCGTCCCCTCTGTCGGCTCCTGCTCCCATGTTGGCCGAATCTACCGAGCCACCCTCGCTGGGAGCTTGCGCGGTAGCCGACAGCGGGGCCCCCGGCACTCTCCGTGTTTCTGACACACGGAGTGCCTCGGTGAGACATGTTATCTCGGCGGTGACCGACGCGATGGTGTCGTCGCGCTTCTCGATCTCCTCTAGTCTGGAGGTCAATCTTCTCGTTCGCGGCGCGCTCCATCTTCTTCTTCAGCGTCGGCTTGAGGGACATGTTGTCGTACTCGGTGTCCAAGCGGACAAAGATTTCCTACAGCGGTAGGACAAGGACGTTAGCTTCGAGGTGGCTTGGTATTCACGCATTAGTCCTCGTCGCCGACATTATTGTCGACTTACCTCGGGCTAAATTTAGGTCGGGTTCCGGCGCTTGTTGATCGTTTCGGTGTCGACGCTCTCGACCCGTTTCGCCCAGTGCTGGAAGAGGGGGATCCGGCAGAGCTTGGAACCTTGGACGTACGGGTGCCATGGTGTGCGGACCAGCTTCACCGCTAGGTCCTCGGCGACGATGCGGCGCAGCATGAAGAGAGTACGCCAGAAGTGCACCGCGACTTTGTCGGCGTCGGACCCCTTGGCAGCCTTCCCTTTTGCCTGCAATTGGTCACGTGTATTAGGAGTTCAGACACGGTCGGCAACACGACTCGATGAGAAGGCTACGAGGGCGTCGACTAACATACCGTCTTCAGCATGTCGTCGACGCCGGGGAATATGTGCTCGGCGAGGAGCTTCAGGAGCTTCTCGGAGGGCGGCACCCTGCTCCGACCCAAGAAGTAGTCCTGCTTGTAACCAGAGTAACCGACCTTCTTCATCACCACACCCACCGGAATGGCGGTGATGTACGCTCGCGTCATCTTGTCGAGCGCCCAGTGACCCAGCTCCGCGATCTCGGCGTGCGGCGCGCCGTCGATGGCCAGCTCATGGGCCCCTCCTGCTCGAGCGGCGTGCACGTTCCTCTTGCAGAACACCTTGTTGGTGTCCCACATCTGCCGTGTCTAGCGTTGGTGGGTTGCCGCAGAGAGCTCCCCTTGGTCGGTGTCGTTTTTTTCGAAGAAGAGGTGCTTCTTGTACCAGCTCGCGCGTGTGCTGGTGTCCACCGGCGGAATGAGGCCGACGCCGTGAAACTGGCCTATCTGGTCGAGGATGAAGTGCAACCACAGGCCGGTCTCACCGACGGCGCACAACTCAGCTTCGAGGTGCCGCGCCGCGTAGCTCTGCTGAAGCCGCGCATCCTTGGAAGTCTTCGAGTTCCGCGCAGCGATCACCATGACGACCCGCTGGTTCTCTGGGTTCACCGACGAGTTGCTCGCCAGTCGTTACAAGAAGATGTCGGAGAGCGTGATCTCGCAGATGCTTGCACCGCGCAGGAGGGTATGGTGGGAGAGTAGCGTGAGCACCTTGATGAGCAGAAACCTCCATAGCGTCTACGAAGGCCCCGTTGCCCGCGGGTCCACGCCTTGGCCGCTCACGTCGGCAGCACCCTCATCATGATCTGGCGGAACTGTTCGGCGGTGTAGGTATCGCCGATGGTGCCGCGATGCCGGCTAGCGCAATTCCTGCCCACAATGCCAAGGAAAGGGGTTATTTAGGTCGGCGTCGACTTATTTGGTGTGGCGTTGCCGCCCTCCGCGCTGGACTCGGCATCGAGCTTACACTCACGCACCATGTACTTCACGTATGCGCGAAGTCGGGACACGGTGACCCTAGGGCTGTGCAGACACACGTACGCCCGGGGGACATCGGCCACTTGGTTCCAATTTTTCTTCTTGTTGTCCCGGATGTAGTGGCCTATCTCGTCGACGTGCTTAAGCCTGTGCTCCTGGAGAAGCTTGTTGCGTATCTGCCTCAACATCTTCGCCGCCCACCTCTTGTAGTGGTAGATCCACGAGGTGTACAGCCTCAGCGTGCTGTTCTTCTCCAGGGTTTGCAGGTGGCGTAGGGCGTCCATGACGAGCACGTCAATGCACGCGTACACCATGTCTTCCTCGACGAAGTCTGCCGCCTTCCACTGTTCGCGCGGCACCGACATGTTCTCCTGGTCCTCATCCTCGTCCTGTTCGAGCAATTTATCTATGTATTCAAGTTCCCGCCTGAGACGTTCTTCCAAGGTGCGCGGATTAGTGCTACGCGGTGGACGGTCGTCGTTCTCGTCATCGCTCTCCTCCTCCTCCTCCTCCTCCTCCTCCTCCTCCTCCTCCTCCTCCTCCTCCTCCTCCTCCTCCTCCTCCTCCTCCTCCTCCTCCTCGCCAGCAATCTGGTTTTCTGGGCCGACCGGTACCGACGAAGTTCTCGGCTGTCGATTATGGGTCGGAGTCGATTTACTAGCCTTTTTTTAAAACTCCCCGATCGGCGGTGGCGGAATGTCCTTAGTGAACTCGTCTTCTGGAATCTGCGTCAGCGCGTCAAGATGGTAGAGTAACTTGAGCGTCTCTTCTTGGGCAGAGGTCGGATTGTGGTCGGTTGGGGGGCCAGCGTCTGCCATGTTGACGTCGGCCATGATTCAGCTGGTATGTTGCTCTACCGTCGTCCGTGTGCGATGCGGAGGTTGGTAAACCAGAGACGGTACTGAGTCACGGGTGCGGTGTACGCCCGAACAGTTGCGCGGCGGTCTTCTTCGATTTCTCGCTCAAGTTCGTCTAGCTCGGCTTCGACCTCAAGACGTTCCAGCTCCGCTTTGATGTCGTCGTCTACTGAGTCGGCGGGAGGTGGGATGGGTTGCGGATGTTGGGCTCTAGGGCGACCTCTGGCCATGCGTCGCCGACTTGCTAGGTCGGCCGAGATGTCGATAGTTTGCACCGATGTTTCCCTGAAACACCTGACGTCGACGACGACAAGTGATCGACTTGATCGATTAGTCGGCTGCCGAGTAACCTACAGGCGCGATGATAGACAGGCAACAGAAAATTCTAAGTCCACGAGAGAGAAGGAAGGAACGCAGGAACGGACAAGCGAATGAGCACATGCGCAAGGTCACGGAGGGGTATGGTCATGAGCGACTTCGATGATGCCGCGCTTCACGCAACCCCCTAGGCTTCTGCCGCCATGCAGCGGCGCAGTGTCGCAGCAGCGGCGCAGTGTCCGACGTGCCACGTGCCAGGCATGGCTGATAGGACGCCGCGCTGCACCTAGGGGGCGTAAGCCTGGGCCATTCCACGGTGACATGGGCGTGTGTTACGTGGCTTGGGACCGACTATGGCGCCGCTCAGCGCCGCTCAGCGGGAATTACGGCAT